AACAGCTGCCATAGTTTGTACTTTGTAACACGTAAATCATGGTAAGTTTCAAGGTGTTTCTTCAAAATTCTTAGGGACAGGTACTTATTTTCTGAGTGCAGTTTAACAATTGCACGTCTGACTTGATGCCTCTGAAAACTGTCTAATTTATCAACATTGCGCAGATATTATTAATTGCATAAAAAGGCTTTGCTCTTTCTGCTTCACTTCTAAAGAAATCATACACATTCAACATCAACTGTTTAACATATGCTGAGTAGTGCTTCGTGTCATTGAATGAACACGGTCACTGTGTAGCACGTGCAGACCGTGCTTGCGCTGTGCCTTCCACGGTTTGTCCCCCTACGTGTCTTGTACACATTTCTATACAAAGTTACATGATAGTTTCTTAAAGAACTTCATCCGTCATGGGTCTTAAATTAAACAAAATTCAGATTTTGTTGGGTATAGGGTATTCATGGTCAAGTACCGTATTGATGTTTCATACACTTTTCTGGATTTTGAGTTATTTTGCAATTCATCGTTCTCATTTGGAGTCAAACGGACTGTACTTACAAGGCTAGACATGGAGAGAAAAAAACAAGCGTCATATTATGGGTATAATATCCATGTATATAGCCACCAATGTGATACTTAGGCATATTATGACGTCACGTCCGGTGATGAAGTCATCTGAGACGTCATTTAGGCTTGCATCTTATTCGAGATAACTTCCAAGCGTGAAGGTGGAGATTGTCGAGGCGGCGGTAAAATATGTCCGTTTTCGGTTGTCTCAGTAAATCGTGACGTACCGGGAATTTCAGAGGTTCTTCCACAAGGAAGGGTAGTAACCTTGGAAACCAAGCCCTGTTTGGCCATGCCGGGGCTATGACAATTATGACGTCGTCTGTCTCTTCTATTTTCTTCAGAGCTCTGTCTAGAAGAATCCATGGGGGAAATGCGTAGGCAAACATTCTCTCCCAGTCAATAGAAAGAGCGTCGACCTGGAGAGTTAGCGTGTCTGGTACAGGGCTGACGTAGACTGGTAGTTTGTTGTTGAGTGAGTGAGACTGATTTTACACTTCTTTCAGCAATATTCCAACAATATCACTGCGGGGGACACCAGAAAAAGGGCTTCACACATTGTACCCATGTCGGGAGACGAACCCGGTTCTTGGGCGTGATGAGGGAATGCTTTAACCACCAGGTGCTCCTTTGTGCTGTATGTAAGCAGCCATGTTCGAGTTGTCTGTAGCAATCTTTACTGACGAGTGGTACAGACAAACTAGTCATGCTTCTAGAGCTAGATATCTCGCTCTCATTTCTAGGCAGTTGATGTATAACTCCTTTTCTCGGGTGGACCATTTTCCCTGTACTGTAATATCGTCCACATGGGCACCCCACCCCTCTCCTGATGCGTCTGTGTAGAGTTGATGTAGAGAGGGGGTTGGATATGAGAGTGGATTACCGGGCATGACGTTCTGACGAGTTAGCCACCAGTTAGCTCTGAGATTCGAACTGGCGGAGATTGAATTGATGTTTTCTAGCTCTAGGATTTTGGTGGTGTTCATCCAGTTTGCAGGGGTCGTTAACTGCAGTCTGCCTCTGTTGGTCAGATCTTGGATGGAGGTGAGCGTGCCTAGGCAAGACATCCACCAGCATCTTGATTTGATGGGCTGGTCGAGTGCGCTAGATATCATGAGGTGATGGATGCCGAATGGAAGTATCCTGAACTGGTATCTCTAGCCGTTGACTGGGTAACGCAGATATCAATAATGAATTGGATGGATGGGGACGTGAAGATAAGCGTCCTGGAGATCTAGGCTTATCATCCAATCTGCTTGTCTTAAGGCATTCTTCAACTTCTTGATAGGTTCCATCTGGAATATTTCGAGCAGCCATGAATCGTCTGTGAGGGCTTCTCAGTTGTCTGCATGCGTACTGCATAAGGCAACCTCCTGGTCCCTGAGTAGGGGGAGTGCTGAACTTGGGTAGTCTTGGGTCGATGTCTGTGAGACCGGCAATTTAGTTGTATCGTTGATCTTCTGTAGTTCGAAATCGCTGTCCACTGGGCAGGCAATGTCGGTAGGATCTGAAGGAATCTGTAGATCTCTGGTTGAGTCATTTCCGGCAGTATCCCTCTCGGAGACTGACTCTGCCTCTGCCTCTGCCTCTGCCTCTGCCTCTGCCTCGTCCTCTCTGTGAAGTGGGATGATCATCTTTGGAGTTCCTATACTTGGGTGAAACGATCTGTCCTTCCATGTAGAGTCTCGAAAAGAATCCCGAACAGTGTTCACATGACGAGATCTAGGATTCTGTTGTTGATGCTGAAGATCTGCAGGCCATCTCTGTATCTTGGATGCCAATGAGATCGTGGATTCTTGAAACTTCTGACTAGTTGATGATGCAATGGCTTCCTTCACTGACTTCAGTCTGCTGTTATCTGTGACGCTGTAATTGGCTGTGATAGCATGGATCTTCTTAATGGCTCTGGGATCATATGATGAACTTGCTGATGATTTCTTTGCATGAGCAGGAACTGTGCTGACATCCAAACTTGTGCTGATTGAAGATCTTCCTGCATCTTCAGCATATGGTCCAGTGAGCCTTGCATAAACCCGGTCTGCTGTAGTGTCATCTCCGTGGGGGTGTCTAAGGGAAGACCTTCGCTCTGATTGTTCGGGGGTATGACATGGCGAACTCCAGCTGCAATCCAGTTAATATATGAACTGATATTGATCATCTGTTTATTGATGTAGTCCAAGTCCCCGATTCTGGCCATGTCAACGTGCATTCTGGTGTTAGGTTTCTTAACCAGATCATAGAAATCTTCATCAATACTCGGCTTCTGTGAGAAGGGGGCATTGTGTGTCCTGTAAGCACTTTCATTAATAGCAGGCATACCAAGTCTGATATTATGTGCCAGGGAAGTGTTCAATTGCTTCAATTTTCTTAATGACGTCATCAATATATGACGGACAGGTGAGGGTATGGAATTCTTCAGTCTTGCTGACAGGTTCTTCATACCCAGCATGTTCTAACAAGGGTTTGGCAGCCGTTTTGTCCTTGTTATCTGGTTTTAAGGCCGGCATCAGATTATAAAGTTCTGCAATGATATCTTTAATGGAATAATTATCTGGTTTATAATTATCCTCCGTAGTAGAGTCCCCATTGCATGAAGTACCAGTGTTAGCGATAGAGCTGCACCCCTGCTCAGGCTCAGCTGGGGGTGGGTCATATGGCTGGGGGTAGAGAAATCCTGGTCGTCTGTAACGGTATGATTGTGATGTAACATGTGGACTGTGTGACAGTATGGGATGGCGCACGCTTAGGAACTCTATCCTAAATTGCACAAGCTTTGTCAGTTCGTCTATCATAGTGGCTAGAAGGTGACTGGTGTGTATTTCTGTGCATACTGCGATGCGATGTCCGTGATTCACGATCTACCCTATGGTTTGAGGGAGGGAATCAATGAGATTCTCGATCTTTTTTTTATGACTCTCCTACTGTCCTCATAATAATCTGATTCAGCGTGACTGTGTGTGTCTGCTGTATGAGGATGCCCTGCCATATTCAGCCTTAGATCTCCTTTGAATCTTGTGACTTAGCCCTGTTTGGCCATGCCGGGGTTGTGCGACTGATTCTTTTAGATATGAGATCTCATGAGACATTGATTGCATATGTTTGTCAATCTTTACAGACATTAAATTGGTTATTTTTTCCGAGAACTCATTTATGTTAAAGGGGGAGCGTGGCATAGAGTGGAGATCGGTTGCTTCTTCCAAGCCTAGATTATCCATCTTATCAGCTGCTTCCGGATGTACGTGACAGGTTACATTAAAACCTTAAAGGTACATCGGTTCCTTAACTATTGGGAGAGTGGGATGAGCGATGAGATCTCTTCTCCTCAGAAGGCGAGACGGCATCCCCACGAGACACTCGCTTGTTACCCACGTGATTATCCTTAGGTGTCACAACGGACTTAATCACTTTCTTACATGAAGCAGATGAATATTTTGCTGATGCTCTAGTGTTCTTTTCACAATCAGGGTCATTGAGTTTCCGGATGTACGTGACTGGTTACGTTAAAACCCGAAAGGTACATCGGTTCCTTTATATTGGGAGAGTAGGATGAGCGACAAGATCCCTCCTCAGAAGGAGAGACGGCGTCCCCACGCGACACTTGCTTGTGACCCACGTGATTCTCGTTGATAGATGTCACAACGGACTGAACCACTTTGCTGACACTCTCCTATTCTTTTTATAGTCAAGGTCATTGAGCCATGCCCAAGAAAGTTTTCCAAACTTCTCCTTGGACAAAAGTTTGCAATAACTGCACTATGATATTGTGTGCAAGTGCTTTTTGCACCATATGCACGTAGGATGAGTGTCACCAGTGATTAGATGTTGCCCACTAGCTGAACAGACGGGTGTCTGTTTTTCTAACTAATTACTTACTAGAGACTTCTGACTCTTATACCCCCTTGTTCTCTGCTTGTCTTTAGTGATGATCTAGTGTGGCTTGTAAGTGTTTAACAGCAATCACGTGTACAGATGTATGCAACAAAAAAATGTCCTTGTTGTCTTCAAGACACACAGGAAAGAAGTGAGGTTTTTCCTGCCTTGCGCATGCGCAGTGGCACCCCTGTCGAGGGATAGGGTTTCCCTCACAACTATTAGATATGTTGGCAGTGAAGAGGACGTTTGTTGAAAATTTATAAAAGATTTGTAGTGTGGTTCTCAGCATAAACAGGAATTTATGGCTATGATGTAATAGAGGTAGGGTATTCACAAGAATTATTTCAGTTGTGTGAATGCTTGGCTGAAAACATTGATATCTTTCACAAATTTCATCAACAGAGCAGTCTCAGAGGATATGATGTTGACAGATGAGTATGGAACAAAAATGCCATGACATTTGGGCTAGTTGGATAAACTTGATAGCATAATGGAGTTATGGTTTCAGTGATTTAACAAGTTGAAGATTTAATATCTGTAAGGCATTACAAGCTATATCTTACCATCGTCTGGCACCTAAAGCACTTGGTTGCTTCTTTATCAGCTGAAATGTAACAGATAGGAGAAGTTGAAAAACAATAAAGATCACACTGCCTAGGGGTTTACTTAAAACAACAACATAAATCTTGACACAGGAAATCTTTCAGAAATATTTTCATAAAACAGTAAGAAACTTCTTAAAACAACAAAATGATTCTTAAATAAAAATGTTTTCTTACATGAAGGTTTCATTCACAACCAAATGTGTGAAGCCCATTTCTGGTGTTCCCCGCTGTGATATTGCTGGAATATTGCTAAAAGCGGAGTAAAACCTCATTCACTCAGTAACTCATTCACAACATCAAGAATTTCATCAAGAAAATAAGTTAACTCCATGAAACCATGATTATCCTAAGAAATGAAAATATATATAAGATACATTGAGCAAGCTAGAGAAAATTGACTTTTTAAAAAACATCAGGGGATAATTTAACTTAACTGTGTACCAGAGTCTTATTTTTTAGAAATACATCTTACATGTTATCATAACATTAACATATTTACTTAACGGTAATGTATGAGCACATTGAATAGTGGGACATGGATTATTTTATGACCTTGAAAGTGAATATGACCTTCAGTATCTGTGCCAACTATTTCAAAAACAATCCAAAGGGCTGTCCATCACATGAACCAAATACATAATGAAATCATGGCGCATACTAGTCATTGAAAGTAGGTCACTGTTACCTTGTCAAACATATTGAAGTAGTAAGGTAGGGGTAATGACTGAGGTAATATACATAAACATAAAAGAACAGATCATCATCAAAATTATTGATACAGCATATCAATGTACTTAGCTAGCCAGACATCAAACAACAGTCATCATTGTTGATAATTCTAAGAATATACTACCTCTATTACATCACTGCCATCATTCCTGTATTTTGGCTATCATCACACTATAAAATCTTCAGATAGTCCACAGAAGTCGTCTTCACTGTCAACTATCCATTAATACTTGTGCAGGTAATAGTGTCCTGCTGCCGAATGCTATTGTGTTTGCGAAGGTGGGAAACCTCAATTCCTTCCTGTTTGCTAGAATTGATAACATTTGTCTGAGCTCTTTGTCAAGCACACTTTGGTAGTTTATCACACTGAAGTTAATCTGTATGTTCCGTATACATTACTAGATACGTAGTATCTTATTTTTCAGCTGATTAAATTCTGGGTTTGGTCACTTAAGTAGTTCGAGGTGACGTGTTGTGGGACAGAATAGTATCTCTTTCCCCGTCATTGCCTATCGCTTCCTGCGATTATGCAACCATCACTGCCATAAATTCTGTACTTAGGCTGACATCACACTAAAATCTTCAAATTGTCAACAGAAGTCCTTTTTACTATCAACTATCCATTAACAGTTGTACAGACAATGGTGTCTGGATGCTTAATGCTCTGGCACATGCGCAAGGTGGGAAACCTCACTTCTTTCCAACAAAACATCATCCTGGATGCAGATAGAGGGTTAGGGTTACTGCTGATGTACGGTTGTAATCTTAGAATTACCAATGATAGCTACAATCGATAATTCCTGCAAATATTCTACTTCTGTTCCATCACTGCCAGAAAATACTAGAAGGGCTGGCGGGTTCTGGCATCTCGTATCTTTGGATGTTTAACAGTTGTTCTAAATCACATGACATCACTTCCTGTTCTGATGACGTCAATTCCCACTGGAATTTTGGCGGAGGTATGAGACAATTAGGAGAAACACATACTGTGTTTTCAATTTAGAGCTAGGTTACCTGTAAATTTATCACTGTAAATAATTCTAAGAATACTACCTCTATCACATATCTGTCATAAATCCTGTATTTTGGCTTCAATCACACTAACTAAAAACTTCTGATTTTCAACAGATGTCCTCTTTACTGTCAATCACACAATTAGTTGTCGCCAAGTAGTCTTGTAACCAACCAAGCCATGACCTCATAATGGTGGCAACATCACTTTTTCCCCTTATCTACTACAATAGGTAGAGAAATTGGGGAGGTGGGAGGGAGTAGTTCATATGTAATAGAGGTGGTATTCTTAGAATTATTAACAATGATAAACTATTGTTCAATAATTCTAACGAAACTTCTACCTCTATTACATATCTGCCAGAGTATACCAGAGGGACCCCAGTGGGATCTGCCGCTAGTAACTCCCTTTGTAATTGACAGCAAACCTCTTCAGGAAACCATTATGTACTGATTCTAGTCCGACTTGAGATAATTTCCTCTGAAATTCCCTTTGAGGATTTGAAAATCAGAAACTGTCATAGTAACTTGTGAATCAGTCAAATATGTGATATATTCACAAGCTTTACCGTCATATTTGCTGATCTTGATCGTAATAAACCTGGATTTGTGACTTCTAATACCGACGATTACGTCATTTCCGGTCATGACGTCACTTTCGGTTATGACGTCACTTCCGGTTATGATGTCACTTCCGGTATGTCACTTCATCTTTTCGGTAATGACGTCTCTCTAGGTCTATTTCTACCCCAAAAATGTCATTTCCTGGTTAGAAGGACCCCGTTCTGCTATTTCCGGTGCTGACGTCACATCCGGTTATACCCTCACTTCCGGTAATGACGTCATTTCCGGACTAAAGGTGATAGTTGATATTTACAGTGCTTCTTATCCATCCTACACCTAATAGGCAGAATAATCAAGGGTGTTCTCACCCTCTGATGCTGCCCCCCTCCTCAACCCCTCCCCCCTCCCCATGTCCCATGTCAGAATTTGTTGTCTTGATGTAGATGTAGTAGGATATAGCATTAGTTATAATCCCTTGTCGTCTTCTCCACTGGATGAACTTGTCCCATCTGTTGTCATAAGTAAGGGAGAATGAAGGTTTCTATGCTCTTGCCACAGCTTCTGAGGCATATTCTGCGTCATAACTTCCAGGCGGTTAGATGTAGGCTGGACAGATTGTCATGGAAAATGCTGGACTTTGGTTGTCGTAGCCGATCTCAAGGAAGAGGTAACTGGATAGGTTCCTCCATTAGTAGTCTTAGTAGTCAGGGGAACCATACCCTGCTGGGCCATCTTGGGTCTATCAGTATTATTACGCAATATGTCTCATCCACCAAAGTGGATGACTTTGTCTAGGAGAGACCATGGTGGGAATGTGTAAGCAAATAGATTCGTCCAATCCACCGATAGTGTGTTGCTCTGGTGAGCTTTTGAGTCGGGAACTGGACTGACATAAACCGGAAGTTGGTAGTTCTGAACGAGGGACACTACTGTGGTGTTGTCCGTGGCTATGAGAACGGATGATTGGTAAAGATGTAGCTTCCATTCCAGGATGGGGTAATAGATGGCCTTCATTTCGCTGCAGTTGATATGAAGGTTCTTCTCTTCTGTGTTCCATGATCCCTTGTACTGTGAGATCGTCCATATGGGCTCCCCATCCCAAAATCTGACTCGTCTGTGAATAGATGGTGTTCTGGCCTCGGATAAGTCATAGGGCTGCCGCTCATCACATGCTCTCGTAGTAATCAGGGAGGTAACTGAGTCTGGAACTCTAGGCTGTGAGATCGTATAGAGTTGATCCATGTCTGTAAAGGACGTAGCATAAGCCTTCCTCTGAAGGTCATATCCTGTAGTTGCCTAGAAGAGACATCCACTACCTCAGTGACTTGCTTGGTTGACTTGAAAATGATTGAATCATCTTTATAGTTTTGTCGAATCAATCCTCTGGTGGGCATAGATATCCCCTATCTGGAATCTTGCTCCGATGTATATGATGTCTTGAACCGGACTTGGGTCGGACCTTGAAGGATTGATAATGAAACCTAGGAAGGTCATTAGTTGTACCAAGCAAAATCTGGGGATGTTTGTAGTGTTATGCATAAGCGATCATGTAATTCAGTCTGTACAATATACTGCACGAATCCCACTAGACCAGTCGACTAGTCAAAGGATGTTTACAGTCAGTCTGTCTTGACACGTGACATGTAATTCTTCCTGCCCAGTAGACTGTAGTCCTGTATGTTGAGTCGACTAGTTTCAAGCTCTACACACGGCACACCAGTGATGTGTCCCGAATTCTGAGTAGGAACTGTGATGTTGCCGGTGTAGGAGCAAGTTGATCCTCATGAAAAAAGAAACGACTGGTCGATTCTCTTTCTCATGTCGGTAGTATTCTTCTTCAGAACAATGAATACCGGAGAATAAAACCTGGGTCTTATTGGTCTCCACTTGTCTCCGAATGGCTTGCTTCTTTAGTAGCTTCCTGATGGCCAGATCTGCTGCTGTTAGCTTGGAAGCTAGGCTGATAGTTGATGCTTGAAATAGTTCCTTGTGTCTTGACTTACTTCATCTAGGATATGTCCCAATTTGCCATTAAATGTCTTGGGAGCAGAAATTGGTTGTGACATTATCAACCTCTTGGTTTACCTGGAAACAGCTCTTGAACGAATCTCTGCTAGTATTTGTTGACGCTGAACTCATAATAGCAGTGAAGACATCCAGACTTGGGAATAATCAGGCCTGGACCAGACAATCCAGTGACTGATATCACAAGCATCAGACTTGGGTGGAGAGTAAGTCTTCCTTCATTCTGACTATTTGCGTACAAGCTTCATTAAGTCTTCGTCCAAAATTTGATAATCCGGAAGTGGAGTATCATGAATTCTATACACTCTCCGCTTCAATGGAGGTAAGGGTAGTTGTTCATCATGTCTGAGCATGAGTAAACTTTCCGACATCTGGTCTACTACCTTGCCTGCATAACTTGGCCAAGGCAAATGCCTGGTGGATGTGTTGAGATGATGTAGGAGCATGGCATCCCCCATATTCTCGTCATCTGGGGTGGCGAGTTCTGTGTCATAGGAGGTTGGAGTACAGGCATAAGATGGTAGAGTTCTTCTATCAACTGTACGAAGGTGTAAGCTTTGGTGTGATCCCGCTGGGGTGATTCCTCAGTCTGATCTTCACACTCCATTTCCGCCTTGGGTAGCTCCCGTCGGGGGATGGATAATCGTAATTATCTTCATCTACCCCTTGGGGTTCGTCATCCTCCGATGTCCATGATTCCGGTATAATTTGCCTCCGTGCGGCTTCCTTGTGGCGGCTGACCGGTCAGTTGAACGGTAAACTGGTTGATCCTGTGTAGTCCGTGCGGCTGCCTTGGGAGCTGCCGGTTTATGAAGATCATACGGTAAGCCAAGTGGCTGGACGGTCAGCATGGAGTCCGTGATGTAGCCATACGATGTTCTAACGGTCGGCTTGCTGGACAATTGGTCGGTCGGGTGGCCCATATAGTCTGTGCGACGATTGTACGGTGTCTTAATGACTGGCTGGCTGGACGGTGTGTCGGTCCGCTGGGTTGCCATGAAAGGCAGGCCCATGGAGTCCGTGTAACCACGGTATGGTGTCTTAATCTGGCTGGTCGGCTGGTTGGAGGGCTTTGTTGCCGTGGACGGCGGGTCCTTGGATTCAATGCGGCTCCCGTACGGTATTGTCTCATGGTAGAGCAAAGCCTGCTGGCTTATACCCAGCTGGTCATATGGTTGGTTGGTCGGTTGGCTGGCCGTATGGTCATCTGAAGAAGGCCGTACAGCCGTGTATGAAGGTTTGACAGATGGCATCCCCCTCTATGGTCTGTGACCGGGGAATTCTTCTTTGCCAGAGCTATCTCCTTGATCTTTTTCATCACTTCATTCAGCACTGAGAGCTACGTCTCAAGCATGCTCTTCATCATCTCCTGCTGTTCTTTGAACATGAAGTGCATATGTACTTTGTGCAGTTATCATGAGGATCTCCCGTGACCATGAAAACGGCCACACTTCTTGCACCCTGGGGGTAGAGGAAGACTGCATATTGAACTCACAAAGAGCACCAAGCACAAGTTATACTTACGTGCATACGCTTACTCCAGCAGTAATATTAATGTATACATGTATGCCTGTTTTATTTTTATTAGAACTATTAGAATAATCTTAGAATAATGTGACTTACTACCAAGTGCTAGATTGTTGATGGTTGATGCATGTCATCGATCCCAATTGTGTGGATCGCTGCTCATGATATCAATCACTGGATTGTCTGGTCCAGATGCGATTATTTACAGACCGCCGTCATATAGCTGGAATATTGCTGAGTGCGGCGTTAAACAAAAAAACAAAAAAACAAACAAACAAACAAAACAAACCAGCACACAGAGGAAAAAAGTGAGGTTGCTTCCATGATAATGACGTCATGGCTTGAGACTACTTAGCGACAACTAGCTGTGTGTGTAATTTGCAGTGAAGAGGACGTCTGTTGAAAATCTGAAAATTTTAGTTTGTGTGACTGAAGCCAAATTACAGGATTTATGGCAGAGATGTAATAAAGTTTCATAAGAATTACCTGATTTGTGTATGTATTTATTTTATGAGCCTCACTTTTACATAGATTAACTTAGGACCAATAGACATTTCAAGTAGTTGAACATGATTTGTATTTACACATGACAGGTATAAAATAGATGACAGATTGAAAATGATATTCAAACATCTTGAACAGTTGTTTTCATTTGTTGTGCATATAAGCCAATGTAAGCTTCAATAGTTTCAGAGAAGATGTTTACAGATGAGGATGTTTATTGATGGTGACATATGACCATGGGTCATAACAAAAGCGCACTTGGGCAACAATAATTGGCCATTAGACTTCACGATGTGGGTAATATAAAGACGCAAATGGCAACAATATGGCTACAATGCGGCTCACCTCAGCATATCTGAAGAAGAGGTAAAGGATCTGCCACAGGAAAATGACTGGACACAACAGAAAGTTACACACACCAAGCCATAGAATCTTTGATGCCAAGCTGGAATAAAACAAAATAACGATTTTAACAACATGATCATGAAATTGACAAACAATTCTTTGTAGTACAAGTACTCTTCAAGTAAAAAAGTCTGTTTTTCATTAAAATAGTGCCACAAAACTGTAGTTGTGTCAAAAAGATAGAACCTTATATATACACCTCATTAAAAGTATCGCACCACCAAATTTGAGGTGTAATTGCAAGTTCACTTTCAATGTAGAGATTTTCCAATGCTTTACTGTGTATTGACACATCATCTGCCTGTATATTGGTAGCCACATTAACTGCCCAACCTTGTGGATGCGTTTATGCAGGCCGTATGCACACCTAAAGGGTCTCTAAAGAGATTTTGTTTGATGACAGAAAGTTCATGTGTCTTTACTGCTATTAATTCTGAATGAAAGTTATAGCAATTTGAAAGTCTTTGGAATCACTGTAACTGGAAAATGTAAGTGTACAATCCCAGAAAATCAAAGATGGCATATCAGTTGCATGCATCAGACTGGCATGTCATGTCAACTATTGCAACCGTGTTGAACATTAATAACACTGTAATCAGTCAAATCATTAGAAAACACACATTGACTGGACATGTGAGGGACTAGCTGAGATCAGGACGTCCACAGAATAGCAGTGCCACGTCCTTGCACGCCAGGCAAAACGGCTGCCAACTTCAACTTGCACTGTTCTTCATCATCATAACTGTCATACCCACAGCAATATCAGGTGTCCCTGAGCAACATCAGGCGTTGACTGAATTCATCAGGATTAAGGGCCAGAAGAGCAATAAGACATCCACACTCCTCACCTCAACAAATGCGCAACTGTTTAGGCCTGGTGTCAGGCTCGGCACACTGGAACTTGAAGTCATGAAGGAGGATTCATTGGTCTGACAAGAGCCTGTTTTTATTGCACCACACTGATGGTAGGCCATGTGTCTGGAGGCAAAGGGGAACATCTTAACATCAGTGCATCATCCAGGGAACAGTGGTTTATGGTGGCTCAGCGATGGTATGGGGTTCTTGCTCAATTGAATGTAAACTTGATTCAATCACAGTTCAGGGGACATTAAATGGACAAAAGTACCAAGATTCTGTTCTGTTGTGCCTCATTTTGATAACAATGTACTTGCCACAAGTCCTGTCTTCATGGATGACAATGCAAAACCCCACCAAGCACGAGCTGTGACTGACCATCTCCAGAACACTGCCACTGAGACTCTGCCTTGGCCTTCTCGAAGCCCAGACCTGAATCCAGTCGAGCATCTATGGGATCACTTGGTACGTAGGGTTAGAGCAAGGGACCCTCCAGTACAGAATCTTCAAGAATTGACCAGGCATTGCATGAGGATCTGATTTTGAGCTTGAAGAGACGTTTTGCAGATGTCATCCTTGTATGGGGTGGCTACATAAGACATTGACTTGCACTGTTGATCATTTAACTGTGACATGGGTACAGCATTATTAAGATATGTAAGCGTTGATCTTGCCATCTTATCTCTGAGAGTTACCATACTTATACTGCCTCTATGTATCCCTTATTTCCTTTGCAAATGTTCATTTTTCCTATTACTCATAAAATTAACATCTTATTTGACATAAAGTATGTTTCTTTGTTTGTTTGTTGTTTAACGCCACCTTATGATGGTGGTCTGTAAATAATTAAGTCTGAACCAGACAATCCAGTGATTGTCATCTTGAGCATCTACCCACTCTATTGGAATATGATGACATTAAGTAACACTTTGTTACACTTTATTCCCCTGTTAGTGTCAACAAACATCATAAGGCAAATATTAATTAAAATATTTGTGAAATCTCAATATTTTTTTACATTTGTATACTTATCCTGCATTACTCCTTAATGCATTTACTGCTTACTTTTGAGAAGCTGAAGCTGGAGGGGTCCAGATAAGATAAAAAGTTGTTTCAATGAAGTGTGACGAAGGACCAAGCAGATGAGACCACGTGACCTGGATGTGATGACGTCACGTAAACACCATATTACTGCTTGTCACAGACATCTAGATCTTTAACATCTGAGGAAATCGTGGGGAGGTAGGTCTGCTACGGGTGGGTTCTTAGATGTAGTAATGAAAGATAAGTATACAATTGTAAAAAATATTGTAATAAATGTTTTACTTATCCTGCATTACTCCTTAATGCATCTGTTTTGGATGGTATGGCGGAGGGCATACCTTCAGATGTAGCACTCAGTGACATTAACTCTCCAGTAGTTCACAGCAGTCGTTGAGCGCATGACTTGCACAGAGCTGTAACTACTTTGTCCAATCCTGTCTGCGGAAGGGTACAGGAGTATGAGGACGTCCCGGTGAAAAACAGCAGGAGAAATTAGAGTGTCAAGAAACTGATTGACCAAGCCAACTGCTGGTTAGCAGAATAACCCCACTGTCACGCGTGCGAACACTGTTGAGAATAATTTCTTAAACTATGTTTTCCAGTGATGGGAATAAAAATGAACAGCAGATATCATAAGGCACAGGGTATTCATTGCAGTGTATCCTACTGACATTTAATAGACTATTCCCAATTATTAGTCATTTTGCAATTCACTATTCTCATTTGGAGCCAAATGCACTGTACATCGTTATAACCTCAACAAGCAAAATGTAGTGACCTACACACTCGACATAAACTGTGTACACTTTGAGAGTGGTACGCACAGAGCTGTTAACCCCGGGCTGTGCTGGGATTTCATTGAAAAGAATCAATTACCAGAATACCCCCGCCTTTCTCCATCCCACCTTTATCATTGATCGTGGGAGCCGAAGACGAGGAAGAGATGATTATGCCCTGTGAGTGAATAACGAGTTTACATCTGTCACTTCCGTGGTGCTCGAAAACGGGGGAGCACGCAACCACCAAAGTACAGCATTCAAATCCCATGCAGGAGGGCAAAATTGTGCCTGATCTTCAAGGAGGAAATGAGCGTAATAGCGCAAGTAGTTCAAGGATCTTGGTCATATTCCGATCTGCCAACACCGAATTGAGTACCATGACATAGGTAGTAATGGTGCTGCTTTTCAGGTGTCGTTTGGTACAAAGATAAAGGAGGCATTCAGCCAAGAATTGAGGCAAGACAGTGGTGGGGTCCAGATCCTTTCCTTTACGAAAGGTCACACGGGATCGCCACTTATCACTGTAAAGGTTTTGGGTCGTAAGTCTCTGTGCCATAGTAATGGCCTTAGCTGCCCTATGCACCTAGAGCTCTCTATAGATGAATCAGGTGTGCAGATGACACCTGCTTGGCGTTGGGTGTGGTAACTTGATGTGCGGATGGATAAGTAGGTTGGGTCATCCGGGTAGAGCTTGTTGATCGCTTCCTGCAAGATTTCATGAGGTCTACAAACCAGCCTCCAGCCGGCCACCAAGGTGCAATCAAATTCAGAGATTGGCTCTCAGTTACCCTGTATCACCTTGGGAAGAAATACGGGTGGGGGAAAAATGTACGAAATTAGCCTGTGAGTCTTGGATCAGAGAAACATAAGTTGAGATCGGGTAGTTCTGGCAAATGCGGAAGAGTTCAGTGTTGGGATGACCTAGGCGCTGACATACATGGTAGCCACCACGCTCTGAGGTACTCCTCAATTGTCGTTTTGAGCTCTCTGATTTTCGTGTGTCATGATTATGTTCATCATTATGTGGTTTAGTTAACAGCTTACCATTCTTGAAATATCCAATCAGTCCTCTATCTTTCACGGCTTTAAGTTGTTCACGTTGGCGGATAGTTAAGTCACTTGAGACTCCATAACCGATATTCTTGAGTGTTGTTCGAGCTTTCAAAACTACGATTTTGTCATCAGATAGCTGTAATTTAGCAATCAGCGGTCATGGTTTAGAGCTATCCTCATGTTAGGCGCCGAGTCGATGTGCAGGTTGTCATCACTAACCCATGTCTTGGTCTGAATATTGCTGTTCAAGATGTCTAGTAACTTGACCTTGCAATCAGTGTGCGTCTCCCCTGTTTCCTCTGTCATGTTATAGAGGATAATGTTGTCACGCCTGCTAAATGCCTCTAGCTTGTCGATCTCGCCGTCGAACTGTGCTAGTTTCTCTTCCACATTTTCTATCTTGCCGTCCTCGTACAATATGCTCTGATTGTGATTGTCACTCTGACGATTGGTCATCTTTGACGCATTGGATTTCCTTCAAAATGGTATCTTTGACTTCTGCTTACTTACCGGGTGCCTTTTGGTTGAGTGAAAAGTCCAATTCTTGCTCTATAGAGATCGATCAACACAATTTCTTATCTTGCTTCGGTCTGTGGTATTATGTCAATCACTTATTTCAGCTTCAAGTCTGTCAATTTCGGTCATGATACGACCTTAAGGTGATTTTTTGACGGAGCACATCAACACACGTCTTGACATAACAAGGGGCATAACTCCATGCTCAAGGCAACATTGTTCCTCTCAGATGCATTTTTTATCCATCCACAACGAGCATGTCATAATGTCAAGGCCTCGACAATCTTTCTGGTCAGTTGATTTCAACAATGTAATAAACACAGCCTCATTCACGGCGTCATCACAAAATTCCTTCAAAATACCCATGTGATCAGGGTTACGACCTTAAGATGAATAATAAATTAATTTGAATTTTTAGAAAAGAAACGTTTTCATGAATACCAATAACCATTATTAAAAAACAACCTGTACATGGTATTTTTGGATTGCACTGCAGATTTCCTTTATTACTTTCTAAAACCTTTTGTTTTCCCCCTTTCTGACCATGCAATCGCAATCTCCTAGCAACCTGGCCCCATGAGTGCATCAAGGTTAGCTTGTCTTCAATATGAGCAACAAAACATTTTCATGTGATGCTTAATTTGACAGAGAGTTGTTCAAGATGATCAGGGAGCCTTTGGTCATTTCGATAATGACATTGGTGACTTTATTGGGGAGAAAGTTCAAATTCGAGATGACATCATTCTGATCATCAACTCGAATCGACAAGATGGCGCCTCTCTTCCCGCCCTTG